AAGGAATTCTTTGGTGGGCTGGAAGCAAGGAACCATTGTCGAGAGCCTGCTCACTATCGATCCATTTATGAAGGTTCCCTTCATCTTGAAAGGACTGTGGTTCAGGCAGATRTGACTGAAAGCTGAATCCAAGCCAACTGTTGATGAGCACCTTCCCTGCATCCCTGCCTCCACGTTCACCTCTGCAACCAGGGGGACTTTCCTCTTGAGTCATAGAAAATCCTGTGTGATGTCTTCCTACATTGCTCCAACAACATAAGTCCCATGTACTCTTGCGGGTTTCATCCAAGCATGATCCTTCAATGGCACGGCCGTCACATGTCTTCAATGTCACCGTGTGGACTATTTCTCCTGTACAGCTGTGCTGATTTGGTGAACATTCCTTGATGAAACKTTCTGGAGTAATGTCTAGAAGACAAAAGAAACCACAGGTTTATGACTAATTACTGAAGCAAAAATATTATCTTACACATAAATATATAAGGTTATACCAAAGTAATACTTGTGTTGACAACAGTTATGAGGATTACATGATCATGATTTTATTGTTCAGAAAAAATATATGGAACTGGACTTTTACAGAAGGAAAGCTTGTTTACATGTAATTCATGTAATCAAAATGTCTTTAACAGGAAAACTTAGTTTAAATAAATTCTGACCAAAACACTCCTGCTGTATCAACTAATTAAATAGGGACCTTGATCATGGACTTTGCAGGCCCCAAAATGTGAGAAATAAACTGCTGTGGTTGAAGTGAATAAGTCTATTGGATTTCTAATAGTAATTGGAAGTGAATTGACAGGAAAATGACCATCTCATCAAGATCATGAGAGAAGGCTGACAAATCTTATTCAACAAAAAGGAAACAGTGAATCTTTAGTATAAAATATGAGACATTCTTTACTAATTTACAGCACTGACTTTTAAAAACCTAGAGGTAAATGAAGAATGAAATCATGGCATTGGCTGGTGGGTGGAATGGAAAACATTGGGCTAGGTGAAATGAGCCAGACTCAAAAATTGAGGGTCAAAGGTTGCTCTCATATGTAGAAACTAGAAAAAATAAGGGAGAAAAGGGGTTAGAGGAGGTGACCAGACATCATAAAGATACAGAGAAGACAGGGGAARAGAAGAAAGAGAACAAGAGGAGGGAGGAAGGAAGGAAAGGGAAGAAAAAGGGAATGAATTTAACAAAATCAGGTTACACTCATATATAAAGATAACAAAGGGGATATCATCCTCATGTATACATAGAGAAAGTTTAGAGGGAGAATAGGGAGAAGGAGGAGAGGAGGAAAAGGAGCTTGAAACCAAATTCCTTGCATGTAAAGCCAGGAAATGGACTTCACCTTAGCCCTGACCCCTCCCATTGCCAAAGTGCCCCAACACTACTTAGTGGGCAGCTGCCTCTCTGCCCATGTGAGCTCTTACCTGCGTTCACACCCTCCACACATGCCCACTCAWTTGCAGGCCTGGATATTTCCTCTGGGCCATTCACAGTCCAGGGCTCCCTCTCTTGCTCCAACCAGGAGAGGACACTCAGGTCTGAAGGACACATTCCTGCTTGTAAAGAGAAAGGAAGSTGATGCACTGTGGCTTCTCCACAACCCAGCCCTATCTGCACGTGAGGAAGAGGACATTACAGAGGGATACAGAAAATATTTCACTATATCATGTAGGTATCTACCTCTCTTCCTAGAACCACTGAAACAAAAGCACAGGCACAGAAAACAGGTAATGGGTATTTTAATTGTTGTTGTTGTACCAGAGATTGAAATCTGGGAGATTTGACCACTGAGCCACTTCCCTAGCCATATTCTGTATATTATTTAGGGTCTCACTGAGTTGCTAAGTACCTCACTTTTGCTGAGGCTGGTTTTGAACTTGCAGCAATATTTCTGATCCTTGTACCTCAGCAAACCAATCCACTGGGATTGTGGGCATGTGCCATCGCATCTGGGTAGAACTGGATGTTTTAAGAGTCGGCTGTGGGCTTTATGTTGTGCTTCAGCTCTGGAACCACCACTGCAGTATCATGAAGGGGACAGAACATCTGAAGGAAGGGAACAAAG